CGTCTCCAGCCCTAACTCCCTTTGGCTCCCAGCCCTGAAACCTTGGAAACTCCTCGGGAACAAAGGCTGTCCTCCAGCCCTGGCAGGACACCAAGGAGAGGCCGTTTCCAGCCGCCCTCCCCGCGGGTGTAAATAAATCAGGAGCACAGGACATTCAATCGGCTCCCAGGGAGCAGGGAAGGAGCTCAGGGCCCGGCCCTGACTCACCTTGGGGGGTAACTTGAGCACATCCAGGCAAATCCTGCCCGCAGAGTCGATGTTGGGGTGATAGATGGGGGTCAGGAAGCGGATTTTGGGGGGCTCAAAGGGGTACCTGGGGGAGGAGAGTTAAGGAACGAGGAATTGTTGTCGTGTCTCCGGTGGTTTCACCACCTTCATTCCCTCCTGGTTCATTGAACACCCTTCCCCACGGACCACTGGAGCCTTTGCTGCTTCCAGCACTTCCCTGGACAGCCTCCCACAAGGGAAGCTTTGTCCTGATGAACAAGCTCTTCCCACAAAGCTCTGGGATGGCAGAAGTCTGATCATGGCACTTTTTGGGGGTTAATCGACACATCTGGGATGTTCAAGGTGAAATAAGTGTGTCAGTCACTGGAGAAACACTGACATTCCTTGAAAAAAGGGGCTCAATTCCATTCCTTGTTGGTAGGATAAAGGGAAGCAGCAAGTTAAGCAGCACACTCGTATTTGAGAGCAGCACTCAATCAGACAATTCCAGACTGGGTTGGGTTGGAGGGACCTTCAATCCGATCCCAGCCCAGCCCAGCCCAGCCCTGCCAAAGGCAGGGACACCTCCCACCATCCCAGGCTGCTCCAGCCCAGCCTTGGACACTTCCAGGGATGGGGCAGCCACAGCTTCTCTGGGAATTCCATCCCAGCCCTTCCTCACCCTCCCAGGGAAGGATTTCATCCCAATTAATCCAAGCTAGATGCTGCTGCCCATTTACCTCTCAGGAACGATGATTTCCAGGTTGAATATTCCCTTCTCATAGGGTGTGTCTGCACCTCCTAGGATTTCTTCAGGAGCAAGATGAAAACAGAAAGGGTACATTCCAAACCCTTTGGATATGTCCAGCAGCCTCCAGGGAGCTCCCAAAGCTGCAGAAGTGCTCAGATCATGGAATCCTGGAATGGTTTGGCTTGGAGGGACCTCAAAGCCTACCCAGTCCCACCCTGCCCTGGGCAGGGACACCTCACACTATCCCAGGCTGCTCCAACCTGGTCTTGGACACTTCCAAGGATGGGGCATCCTCTGAGAAATCCATTCCAGGGCCTCCCCACCCTCCCAGCCAGGAATTTCGTCCCAATATCCCATCCATCCCTGCCCTCTGGCAGTGGGAAGCCATCCCCCCTTGTCCTGTCCCTCCATCCCTTGTCCCCAGTCCCTCTCCAGCTCTTCTGGAGCCCCTTTAGGCCCTGGAAGAGGCTCCAAGGTGTCCCTGGAGCTTTCTCTTCTCCAGGTGAACATTCCCAGCTCTCCCAGCCTGGCTCCAGAATCCTGGAATGGTTTGGGTTGGAGGGACCTTGAAGCTCATCCCATTCCACCTCTGCCCTGGGCAGGGACACCTCCCACTATCCCAGGTTGCTCCAACCTGGATTTGGACACTTCCAGGGACGGGGCATCCTCTGGGAATTCCATTCCAGGGCCTCCCCACTCTCCAAGGGAGGAAGCCACTAATAAAAAGCGTCATTTGGGCTGAGAGCAGTTCCACCCCTCAGCAATGAAAACTGAGGGTAGGGTAGCCAAGGTAAGTTTTAAAAAAATCCCAATAATAAAAATAAATAAAAATAAAATAAAATCAGCAGAAATCACGCAAGCAGAAATCACGCAAGCAGAAATCACGCAAGCAGAAATCACGCAAGCAGAAATCACGCAAGCAGAAATCACGCAAGCAGAAATCACGCAAGTTAAAATAAATAGAAATAAATAAAAATAAAATTATCTTCCCTAAATTTCACACTTTCATGGAGCTCATAAAGTACAAACCCTGCAGTGAGCACAGACCTACGTCAAATTCTGACCCAGCCCTGGCTCAGGACCCCCCAGGTACAACCAGGGACCCCCCCCAGCACCTTAAGGCCCCCCCCCGGGCACTCCAGGGCCCCCCCCCGGTACCCACGTGCCCGCAGCTCGCCGGCGCCGTGCCCGCTGTGCCAGCAGGAGATTCCCGGCGGCGGCTCCGCGGCGAGCAGGGACAGCTCCCGCTGCAGGCGCGTCCTCCTCTGCATGCTCCGCTCCAGCCCCGGCAGCCGGGCTGAACAGGAACCGCGCCTGAAACGAGAGTGCTGCGGGGCTCGGAGCTGCTGTCCCGCTGCAGAGCCGCTGGCAGAGCAGCTGAGCCCGTCCTAGAGCTGCTCCCACTCCCCTGAGGTCCATCCCAGCCCCTCAGTGCCAGCTGAGCCTAGGAAATCCCGGGCTTAAATATTCCCGAATAAACCACGGACTTTAATATTCCCTGATAAATCCTTGCCTTAAATATTCCCGAATAAACCACGGGCCCAATTAATTACCCCCTTAGCCTAATTAATCATCCCCTCGGCCTAATTAATTATCCTCTCAGCCCAACTAATTACCCCCTCAGCCCAATTAATCGCCCCCTCAGCCTATTTAATCACCCCTCAGCCCAATTAGTTACCCCCATCCTAATTAATTACTGCCACAGCCCAATTATTAACACCCTCAGCCTAATTACTGTCTCAGCCCAATTCCTGACCCCCTCAGCCAAATTAATTACACCTCAGCCTCATTATCCCCTTCGCCCAACTATTAACCCCCTCAGCCTAATTAATTACCCCTCAGCCTCATTAATTACCGCCTCTGCCCACTTATTACCTCCTCAGCCTAATTAATTACCCCCTCGACCCAATTAATCAGCGTCTCAGCCCAATTAATTATCCCCTCGGCCTAATTAATCACCCCCTCAGCCCAATTAATCACTCCTCAGCCCAATTAATCACCCTCTCACACGGACAAGGACGGCCCCCCCAGCCTCACCCTCACAGAATCCTCTCAGGAACAGCCTCCGCCTCCAGGTGTGCTGCATAATTTCCCCCCCGGACCCATTAATTAACCCCCCGGACCCGTTACCCCCAGATCTGTTAATTACCCCTCCGGACCCATTAATTACCCCCCCCAGACCCGTTAATTACCCCCAGACCCGCTAATTACCCCAGACCCGATATTTACCGGCGGAAGGTGCGACCGCCGTTTCCCGCTCCCCCTCCAGACCCGTGAGGCGGCGCGCGCCGGGGGCGGGACTTCCTCCGTCGCCTGGCAACGGCCAGCCGCTCAGCGCGCCCCCCCCCGCCCCCCTGGCGAGTTGATTGGGTGACACCGCCGGCCTAGCTCCGCCTTCTAGCGGTTTCACTTTGAATGTGAGCGCTGCCATTGGGTGAGAGCCGCAGGCGGGAAGGCGAGCCACGCCCCCTGAACAAAACCAGCGCGGGGGGTGTGGCTTGGCGCAGTGAGGGGAAAGCGGGCGCGAGGTCGGGACCCCCCAGGAGCTCCGCGACCTCCCGGGATCCCCCCGGCCCCGAACCGCGTTAAAGTTCCGCGGGCAGCGCGCAGCGCCCCGGCGGGAGCGGCCCTTGCGTAACCCGCCCGTCCCGGCCCCTCGTCCCCTGTCCGGTGCTGTGTAACCGGCCCTGCGGGGTGAGGAACCCGCGCCGCGCCCCGCCCAGAGGGAAGGAGGTAAATGCAGGCTCTGGGAGCTGTGGGGTCGAGGCCGCTCCCCTCGCCCCTTCCCCGCCCTCCTGAGGGCCCCGGGGTGTGTCGTGTCCCCCCTTCCCCGAGCGGAGACCCCCGGCCGGAGCCCGGACCTGCCCAGCCGAGCCCCACGGGGGTGGTTTTGGGGGCTCTTTTCCTGCTGTGACCCCAAACCGGCATTTTCTTGCATCTCCAGCACCGTTTTTACCCTCCTGAACTGTTGAACCGGAGGAATAACCCGGGTCGGACCCGCCTCGGGGGTGGCCGTCGAGATTCCATGATTTTCCAGGGGAGGTTTGGGAGGAGCCGCCGGGCTCGGAGCGGACACGAGGGGGCACTTGAGCTCCTCCGGCGGCTTCCCGGTGGCTCCCGGTCCCGACAGGGCTTGGGATCTGCTCCCCAACCTCTGCCCTGAGCAGAGCTCAGCCCTCCTGCCCCTGCTCCCAGCTCAGCTGGAGCCTCCCAGGGGTTGAAATGTGGGAATCGAGGAATAGGTGGAGTTATCCCATCCAGCTCTGCTCTGGAGCCGGGCTGGGAGAGCTGGGAATGTTCCCCTGGAGAAGAGAAGGCTCCAGGAACACCTTGGAGCCCCTTGCAGGGCCTAAAGGGGCTCCAGGAGAGCTGGAGAGGGACTGGGGACAAGGGATGGAGGGACGGGACACAGGGAATGGCTTCCCACTGCCAGAGGGCAGGGATGGATGGGATATTGGGACGAAATTCCTGGCTGGGAGGGTGGTGCGGGGCTAGGATGGAATTCCCAGGGGATGCCCCATCCCTGGAAGTGCCCAAGGCCAGGTTGGAGCAGCCTGGGATAGTGGGAGATGTCCCTGCCCAGAGCAGAGTGGGACTGGATAGGATTTGAGGTCCCTTCCCATCCAAACCAATCTGGGAAATCCAGAAACTGGGATGATTCCCACTGAATTCCTCTGCTAGAGGGAGTCCTGTGTCAGGTCTCTGAGGAGCTCAGGGCTCCTGCAGAGCTCCTGGAGATCATCTTCTCTCCTACTTGGACTGTTGGGGCCAGAGCAGAGCTTTGAACCTGCTCCTGCTTTTCCTCCTTCTCCCAACCCTTCTCCCAAGCCTTCTCCTCCAACCCTTCTCCTCCAAACTTCTCCAAAAGCAAGAGATTTGTAGTCAAAAGAGATGAAGGTTTTTCTGGAGCCCCTTTTCTGACTGGAATTGTTCTTTGCAGGGGTTGAGTGTCCTGAAATTCCTCATTTGTTCAGGGTTCTGCTCAGAGTGTTGGCACCAGAGCAGAGCTTTGAACCTGTTCCTGCTTTTTCTTCTTGTCCAGACTCGTCCAAACTCCTCAAAACTCCTTGTCCGAACTCCTCAAAACTTGTCCAAAATCTTCAAAACTTTTCCAAGCTCATCCAAACTCGTCCAAACTCCTCAAAACTCCTCATCCAAACTCCTCAAAACTCCTCAAAACTCATCCAAACTCCTCAAAACTTGTCCAAACTCCCCAAAACTTGTCCAAACTCCCCAAAACTTGTCCAAACTTGCCTTGCCTTCCTTTCCCTTTTCCTGGAAGGCACAATTCCAATCCACTGCCTGTTCCCTGGGGAAGATCTGCTGCTCTGGATCCTCCTGGATCCCATGTATCTCCTTGGCTGATTCCTCCCTGCTCCAGGAGGGATTTGCTGTTCCCTATCCGTGGTGCTGACCCAGGGCAGGGCGCCAGGAATGTCAGGATAACGGCCTGGTATGGGATTGGAGCCCCCAACTTGGGTTTTTAGTCCCCACTTTGGGGTTTTAGTCCCCACTTTAGGGGTTTGTCCCCAGTTTGGGGTTTTTAGTTTGGGTTTGCAGTCCCCAGTTTGGTTTTGTTGTTCCCAGTTTGGGGTTTTAGTCCCCAGTTTTAAGGCCCAGACTTTCCCTTCAAAAACCCTGAGGGGGTTGGGCTTTAGTTCCCTGGATCTCTCCTTGGAGGGCTTCGTGTCCCTGGATCTTCAGTGAGTCCTGAGAGTGCCTGGGACAGCAGGATCATGGAATTCCAGACTGGTTTGGGTGGGAAGGGACCTTAAAGCTCATCCAGTCCCAACTTTCCATGGGCAGGGACACCTCCCACTATCCCAGGCTGCTCCAAGTTCATCCAACCTGGCCTTGGACACTCCCAGGGATGGGGCAGCCTCTGGGAAATCCATCCCAGCCCTTCCCCACCCTCCCAGCCAAGAATTCCTTCCCTTTTGTGTCCCCTTTGTGTCCCTTTTGTGTCCCTTTCGTGTCCCTTTCGTGTCCCTTTCGTGTCCCTTTCGTGTCCCTTTCGTGTCCCCTTTGTGTCCCATTTGTGTCTCCTTTGTGTCCTTTTCGTGTCTCTTTTGTGTCCCGTTTGTGTCCCTTTCTTGTCCCATTTGTGTCTCATTTAATATAATTTTTTTTATAAAATCATCTGAATTTTTATATCTAAAGAATTGTGCTAAATCTGAATCCTTTCCCAGACTCCAAGAGCACAGAAATCTGTATCCTAACATCTTCCACGAGATTGTGCTGCTGAGTGACACGTCCCTTAAAAAAATGAGATGTTTAAAATGTTAATAATTATTTTACTTTATTTATGATTAAAATTATAATTGTATTTCATGGATATATAAAGGATAATTATAAAATTATTGCAATTATTATTATACCCTAACCTGGTACTCCAGGCTGTCATTCCCACTATCCCAGGCTGTCATTCCCGGTATTCCAGGTGTCATTCCCAGCAGTGCCGCTGGAGGAGCCGTTTCGCCTCACGGCCCCAGAAGGCGCGGGGTGGGCCAGGCCGGTACCCCCGGTATTCCCGCTATCCCAGGTGTCATTCCCGGCAGTGCCGCTGGAGGAGCCGTTTCCCCTCACGGCCCCGGAAGGCGCGGGGCGGGCCGGTATCCCAGGTGTCATTCCCCCTATTCCAGGCTGTCATTCCTGCTGTCCCAGGCTGTCATTCCCACTATCCCAGGCTGTCATTCCCGCTATCCCAGGTGTCATTCCCGCTATCCCAGGCTGTCATTCCCGGCAGTGCCGCTGGAGGAGCCGTTTCCCCTCACGGCCCCGGAAGGCGCGGGGCGGGCCGGGCCGGCGGAAGCGGCGCGGGCGGGGCCATGTCCGGGAGCGCCGAGCGGCGGCCGCAGTTGTGAGTGACGGGAATGGGAAAGGGAGCTGGACCGGGACACGACCCCACAGGGACGGGATGGGAACGGGAACAGGACACCCCCACAGGGACGGGACCGGGACACGACCCCGCAGGGACCGGGATTGGGAACGGGAATGGGACACGACCCCACAGGGACGGGATGGGAACGGGAACGGGACACGACCCCACAGGGACCGGGATTGGGAACGGGAACGGGACACCCCCACAGGGACCCCGGGGAGGGCCGGGCTGGGGGAGTCGTCCTGCCCGTCCCTGCCTGGACTTTGCCTGCTCGTCCCATCTCATCCCTTCCTTTCCCGTCCCTTCTCTTCCATCCCCATCTATTGTCATCCCTTCTCATCCCTCTCTTTCCTCTTCCCTTCCCTTCCCTTCCCTTCCCTTCCCTTCCCATTTCATTTTTTCCCCTCTCTTTCACTTTCCTTTACTCTCCCCGGCCCTGTCCCGGTCCCGGTGCCCCCCGGCCGTTCCCGGGGCCATTCCCGGGGCCGTTCCCGGTTCGGGTCCGTTGTTCCCGTTGTTCGTTCGTGACCCGTCGAGGGGCCGGGGGGTGGGATGTGCTGGAGCCACCAGGAAACCGGGAATGGGGATGTAAGAGATGCGAGAGAGAGGGATTGAGCCTTCCACACTTTACAGCCATGGAATCCTTGAGGCTGGAAAAGCCCTCTGGGACCATCGAGTCCAACCACCCCCAGCCCTGCCAAGGCCACCCCTGCCCGTGTCCCCAGGGGCCCCATCCACAGGGATTTTAAATCCCCCCGGGGGTGGGGACTCCAAACCCCCCTGGGCAGCCCCTTCCTGTGCTTTACAGCCCTTTCCAGGTAGGAATTTCCCCAATATCCAACCTGACCCTCCCTGGCTCAGCCTGAGGCCGTTCCCTCTCCTCCTGTCCCTTGTTTCCTGGGAGCAGAGCCCAACCCCCCCCTGCTCCCCCCTCCTGTCAGGGAATTCCAGAGGGAGAAGGTCCCCCCTGAGCCTCCTTTTCCCAGGCTGAGCCCCCCCAGCTCCCTCAGGGCTTCTCCAGCCCCTTCCCAGCTCCCTTCCCATCCCTGGACTCTCCAGAGATCCCTTTGGCACCAGCTGCTCGTTCCCATGTCCCACATCCCAATCCTGGGTTATCCCAGCCCTGCCCTTGCCAAGGGCATTCCCAATGCTCCAGGCCCACATTCCCAGCGCTCCAGGCCCACATTCCCAGTGCTCCAGGCCCACATTCCCAGTGCTCCAGGCCCACATTCCCAGCTCCAGGCCCACTTTCCCAGCGCTCCAGGCCCACATTCCCAGCTCCAGGCCCACATTCCCAGCTCCAGGCCCACATTCCCAGCTCCAGCAGGGCCGGCTCAGGGGGGTCGGTGGCTCAGCCCTGCTTTGGCTCCCAATGGGTTTCCCTGTCCCTGGAATTCTCCAGGAGGTGTTTGGGGTGAGTTTGGGGCTGCCCTGGGATGGCCTTGGATTCTCCCGAGGGTTTTGTGGCTGGAGCAGGATCT